TGCCGAACCCCAACTAAATTTTCTAGCTTCTTGAAGATCATAAAGCAGAGGAAGGTACGTTAGATATACCCTACTACCTGATCTATCTGGCATGAGATATCTAACAATCAACCTGAAGATATATGCACGACTGAATTGTTAAACTTGTACATCATCTGTATTATTAGGTAAGTGATTAAAATTCTCTTCTAATCAACTTGTAAGCAGTCACTACCCATTTAGTCTATCTACAGGTGGTTTAATACCACATGTCTAGCCAATTAATTCAATTCAGCCAATAACGATCATTCTTTCACATGGGAGGCCTAATTGTTCAGCTACATCCTCTAATGTTATGGCACATCCTCCACGTGTAGTGTGAAATGTATGAGTCTTAGGACGTTACACTTCTCAATAAGTACTGAGACCAAACCTTGATCATAATCAAATTGTCCTACTCGAGCAAAACCATAGAATCTAGCCAATATAAGATATTTAATTATTTGATTAGGTGGGTTAATCATTTGATCAGTATGCATGACTTTTCTAGTGTGTAGGACCATGTTAACTTATAATGGAAAAGGAAAAATAATATTATTATGAAAGCATAAATGAAATAATTCATAATAAATAAATTTTACTTACATTATCATTCCACACGTGTTCAGAAATATGTTGGATTTACAAGTACAAAAGAGAGTTATTCTCTGGACCAGGATTTATTACCTCTTCTGGAGGTTGTGCCATTTTAAAATGTCTCTGCATAAGGTAAAGGACAAATTCCAATAATACAAAAGAAATCAAACTAATTATAATATAATCTTCATAAAACATAATGTTTTTATTACAAAAGTAAAATACATAATTTATTGTTGAGATGCTATTTTGTGGACAAGTAGAGCGGTTTGACCAACTTGTTGACATAATCCACACTTGTTAGTTTCATTGGGTGTGGTTCAATCCATCTCATTTCGTTCTGACTTGAGCAAGGACGTCCTTTATCTCTAATTATTGATGGGTTAGGTATTGAAGAGGACAATCAATCTGTGGCTATATTCTCATCTTCCACTAGTTGGAACTCATTATTATAAACCATTGCATGGTTTCTAATCAAAAAACAGGATCCATATAATGTAAATGGTCTATGCCTATTCATGCATAAGCACAGCGACATGCATATATGGTAACTTTTCTGCTTGAAACTCTCCATAATCTTATTTTCTATCAAACAAATTCACCTTGCAACATTGACAAAATTGATGATATCAAACATTATATGGCTCCATAATCTCAAATGATGTTGTTATTCTGTTAAAATCTCACACTACACAAGCAGATGCATTTTGACATGCTATATAAAACACGCTAAACATGTATCATTTTAATATTAAATTATTTCTTGTAATATTATTTTAATAATTAACATATCATGAAGATTTTTTTTTAATTTTACGCATACATATATAATTCATATCCTTATAATACCTATTTGTTATTTCATTATTTTTAAAATTTAATTTAATAAATATCAATTTATTGCATGAAACTAAAATTTAATTGGGTTAAAATCTTTAGGCCAAATCATTGGGTTGAAATGAAGGGTTCAAAAATAAAGATTTTTCTCTAGTTTATCACATTCATTAGAAATTATTTACTTTAATTTCTTTTAAATTGTAAAAACATATTTCAAATTCATAGTTTTTAATTATCATACAATTTAAATGATATAAGTTTAAAAGATTTTATAATTATTTAAATTTATAATTTAAAACTTTTAAACACTTCTTTATTACAAAGATTTATAACATATTTAGTTATATATATTTATTAAAGAAATTAGTTAATTTTTAATCAAATCTTTTATGTTTGCCTTAATTGAATGAAATTGATGTAACTATAAAAATATAATTTAGGATTTTATTAAAATTAGAAGTAAAATAGTAAATAAATTTTGTTCTAATATAAATTTCAATTAAAAATAATATTTTTAGAATCTTTTTAGAATACTCCTACTAACGGTGTTAACTAATTAGACTATGTATATTTTTAAAACAGAACGGATATCTATATAATTGATACAAACTCGAAGGATAGTCAGAGTATTTTACTCTTGATTCAAAACACTTATGTCATGACAAGTAATCACCAATTAAAAGATGTAACATAGCAAACAGCATAGAAAAGGCAAAATGAGAAAAAGAATTTATGAGTGCCCTTCATTCATTTTAATTTTTTATTACTTAAACCTTATTTTTACCTAAAAAAATATATGAAAGTAATAGTCCACTAGAAGTTGGTAGAACACTTTCTTTTTTTTTTTCCTTAAAAGATGCAACATAGCAAATAGCATAGAAAACACAAAAAGAAAAATAAAAAAGAATTATGAGTGCATCATTCATTCATTTTTCAATTTTTCATTACTTACATCTTATTTTTACCTAAAAATATATATAAAAATAATAGTCCACTGGAAGTTGGTAGAACACTTTCCTTTTTTTTTTTTTTACCAACTTAATATATACCACAAATTTGATATTTAGGCTGTATATATAATTATTTTTCAGTTTATCTTACCAAATTTAAACTTCGGAGAAGTATACTTTCATAAAAAAAAATAATAATCATATACTAAAAAAAATTGGAGTTTATATCAAAATCTTAACATCTTAAAACAATATAATAGATAATAGTTTTACTACTAAAATAAGAGGCACTTGGTTTAGAAAGAGTACAAATATTCCAAATTATTTAACCCACCACTCACCTCCTGAAAATTAAAATAATGAAATATTAACTCATTAAGGGTAGTATGGATGAAAAATCAAATTCTATATCATAGCTGCAAATTTTTTAAAAGAAAAATAGAAGAGAAACAACATACCCACCAACAATAAAAGAGCTTGTCAAGTGTTTGGAAGCAAGAGTGAAAAAATACAAAGCAAGAGAATAATGAAATGAAGCAAGTGAGAAGAAAAGAGAAAGAGAGAGCTCGGATGAAAGGAGATGAACTAAGAAACATATAATATATAAAACCGTACAGATTGCTGTAACCTCACGGGAAGTAAATGGGAGATTCTTGCATGCATAGTAAGTGGCAGATATTCTTGCACCAAATGAATTGGCAGAGATTCTTGCATGGAAGATGAATAGGAAAAAAGTGAAATCATTTTTTGCATGAACGATTTCACTTTTTGATTTAAAAAAATTTCAAAAAGTAAAAGCATTCACATCAAAAATGATTTGTGTATAATTTAAAAGTCATTCTTATCAAGAACGATTTTAAGTGTAGCATATTAGTATAATACTTTTAAAAGTACAGTATTTTGCTATATTTTTTTACTGTTTACAGCATTTTGGTAAAAAAGCCAGTTTCCAAGGTGTATTATTTACCAATTATGAATTCAAATTGGGGGAGTTCGATTTCTGCATAACAAATCAAGAAAATAAACTCTTTTTTTGGTTTATATATACAATTTTATCTATACGATAAGGTTCGGATATTGATATAATTTATCTAATTCAATTCTTCTTTGTAGTACAATACTTTAGTCGATTTTGCTTCATTTATCATATTTTTCATGAAATTCAAGTAATATTCTACTAATAGAAATTAAAGGCGAGAACTAATCAGAGAGATAATATTTAAAAATTGGTAAACATAATATTTGCTTCATTCCACATGACGTTTTGAACCAAAAGGGACTTATGGATTGTGGTTGATCTAAGTCATTTAATTTTGAACAATTTTAATCATATGTTTTTTCTCACTTTGATTTCATCTTCTTCTCCATACAAAAATTTCATTGTTCCTCTCTTTTTTTTGGTCGGAAAAAATTTAATTGATGCAAACATTGAATGATTCATATATGTACATTCCATTAATTAAACCGTGCATTTTTTCATTGCTTTATACATGGAGCACAAAAACTTGTTTTGGTCATTCAGAACTTTTAAATAATGTTCATCTCTCTGTACATGATTAATTTTCATTATAAGGCCAATACTATTCAATTATTGCCGTGAATTAATGGGTAAAAGTAGCATGGAACAACATAGGCCATGTTTAACATCACGATTGAAATTATTTATATACATATTTTACATAAATCAAGACAAAATTTATCTGATATATTTACATCTTATTTCATAAATTACGATTGAAAAACTGCGTATAAGCCATTCTAAATGGGACCATAATCTTTCTAATCTTTAAATACTCCTCCGGTTCTTAACACATAACTTAATTAGAGAGTTGATGTTGGTTTTATGTACAAAACATATTTCATTTGTTTATTAATTTTTTTTCAAATTAACCCTATTAATATTTCATCAATAATAATCAAATAAAAAAGAGAGGAAATAAATTAAGAAAGATGTTTGGAGTGTTTTAGAAAAAATACATCTTGTTAACTAATTTAACTAACATCTTGATTTACTTAAATTAATTAATTAGATATTATATTAAAGATTAGAAAAGTATATAGAATAAATAACTTCTAGCGTACCACGTCATTAATATTTTCTTACAAATCCCCAATTTTTTCACCAACTACCAATCCCCAGTTGTTAGTTTATACAATTTAGCCATTCAAATGAGATAAGTGGAGGGGCCATTCGCTTAAAAATCGAAAAAGTAATAAAAGTGTTATATTCATTGGTTCTTTTTTTTTTTTGAAATTTTGATCAAAACAAAATTATCAAAATTTTCTTATATTCAAAACAGAATGAAGTCCTGAATTTATGCTGAATAAATAATGAGCTTTTTTAGTTAATAGTACTAATTGTAATTTCATATTTATCAGTTGCCTGCAAGAATTAATTCTTCTCATTTATTCTCCTGAATATCAGAATATTTATTGTTTGGCCTTTTGCTAAAGAGACGTTACAAACTTACAATTGACACGCGGTAAATTAGATCATACGAGGAGGGTAGTATGGTCCTTAAAAGTTCCTGCATAGTCCCCAGCATCCGGAGCTTTAAAAAAGCGGAAGGCCTCCAAAACGGGAAAAACATCAAGCCAATAGCCTCCCAAAACCTCCTAAACCCTCATCTCTGAATCTCTCGGCTCTGCAGCTTATCAGCTTCTTAGGGGGAGAAAGTGGGAACGAGAAAGAGAGAGCTTTTGATATCAATGGCGACTCACCTTCCTGACCATTTCAAGTGTCCGATTTCCCTAGAGATAATGTCAGACCCAGTTATCCTTTCCTCGGGTCACACCTTTGACCGTGCTTCCATCCAACGGTGGCTCGACGCCGGTCACCGGGTTTGTCCAATTAGCAAATTACCCCTCCCTGATCACCCTTCCCTCATCCCCAACCATGCTCTCAGAAGCTTGATTTCCAACTATGCTCTCATTTCGCCTCTAGAGCAGCAGCTGCCTCCTCAACCTGAAACCCTAATCTCCTTGCTTACTTCTCGGTCTTCTCCTTTGGAATCTAAAATTGAATTACTAGACCAACTCACCCGGCTTTCCAAGCGTGACTCGGTGTTTCGCCGGCGGTTGACTGAGTCAGGGATCGTGTCGGCAGTGCTGAACTGCGTTGACTCCCGTGATTCTCGTCTTCAGGAGAAAGCCCTCTCCATGCTATTGAATCTAAGTCTTGACGATCATAACAAAGTGGGCTTGGTGGCGGAAGGTGTGATAGTTCGAGTTGTGGCTGTTCTACTGGGTGGCTCACCGAATTGCCGAGCGATTGCGGCAACTATGCTGACCAGCTTGGCGGTCGTTGCAGTAAATAAAGCCACGATTGGTGCATACCCATGTGCTATTGAAGCTCTGGTTTCGCTTCTTCGGAATGGTAAAGGGAGGGAGATGAAGGAAGCTGCCACGGCGCTTTATGCAATCTGTTCTTTTACTGATAATCGAAGGAGAGCTGTAGAATGTGGGGCGGTTCCTATTTTGCTTGGAGCTGCTGATTCTGGGCTTGAGAGGGCTGTTGAAGTTCTAGGTATTCTGGCTAAGTGTAAGGAAGGTAGGGAAGAGATGGAAAGCTATCATGGATGCATTCAGATTCTGGCTCGGGTTTTGAGGAATGGAAGCTCGAGGGGAGTTCAATATGCACTGCTGGCATTGAACTCACTTTGTCGTACTAGTGAGAGAATGAGATTAGAGGCCGTAAAAGAAGGAATTTTGGAGATCGGTCTTGCATTGCTGGATGATGATAGCGAGAAAGTAAGGAGAAACTCGTCCAATCTGATTCAGGTTCTGCGTGGCAACCAGTGGACAGGTTGATATGGAAATCAAATCAAAATATCTTTAGAAGATGGAAAGAATCAGTTTTGAAAAGAAGATTTCTTGTCCCCTGTGGAGGTGAGTTGGGTTCCTCTTTATTGACTCTACCCTGTTGGGTAGTCCCTGTACAAAAAGAAGATAAAATTTTTTGTGGTGATAGGGTTCTTTTGTATCTTGTACATTTAAATAAAGATGATGGAGCAGATCTTTGTTGTTGTCTTTTAGAATGAAAAAGTTGCCACTCAATCCTCTGAATTGTAATCTCTCAAAGTTACAGAATTTTTCTTTCAATCAAAGCTGGTATGCTGGGTTGATATCTTGTTGTCGTCTTGTTTTCCAGCTACATAAATCATCCATAGATTAATAGTCAATGGGAACATATGTGCCTGTCAAGATACGAAAGTTTAATGTGCTTCGAATGATACTTAAGAGTAAAAACTGCAATCTCCAGACATGATTCAGAAGTAATGAGATTCGTGGGACAGATAAAAAAGGTCAAGAAACAAGTTTTCATCCAGATATGCTTGCTGATTGTATCCTGCAAGAAAGTTAACTTAAACTATTAAACTTTTAACGGAAAAAACTCCTGCTATTATTATTTGTCATACATCAGGGGGCAAAAGGGTTATGTTACTGAAAGATCAAATTTTCAGAGCAATTTCTGCTTTAACTCGGAGGAACTGAAAGATCAAATTTTCAGGGCAATTTCTGCTTTAACTCGGAGGATCACACTATCTGTGCACTCATCTATGTCATGGATATAATAACTCTTAACAAATTGTAAACATGAAGTTTGACGCTCAAGCCATAACGGAAGCACTTTTTTATATAAGCTTTTGCTGAGGACGAAGGAATATGCTGCAGATTGATAGTTTTTAACATTTTTTGTTATTGATAGAACGTCTGCACGAGTAGCCTGATTGCTTTCTTGACCTGTTCACACATCAATTCAAGTGTTTAGTTTTATACCCTCATTATATAATGTTTTACTATAATAGGTTCCATATCTGTGCTTCGAATTATTATCATATAATTATGAATAAGCTAAGTTCCTCACAAATGAAAAGATAAAAATCCATCTCAGATAATTAATTCTCTTTTCTTATCCATAAGATGAGAAATATTCCTTTTGTAGCATGGTAGAGAACAAACTGCTTCGTTGGTCTACAAGAGTGGCAAGGACAATGTTTTGTGATCTTATGGTGGCAGCAAACTTCAGCTTGTCGGTGAAAGTAATGACCACTGAAAGTAATCACCTGAATACATGAGTTATTGGACTAAACGGCGTTGTCCCCTTTCATTGTTCATTTCATCTATTAATTTTTTCTCTTGCTGCAAATCCGTCTCTCTCTGTTTTTTTTTTTTTGGTTAGTGGCGTGCCATGGACCTATATATATATATATATATATATATATATTTTATATTAAGCCGGGCAAGTTACAAACTTGACAAAAGAAACTAAGCTAAACAACTTAAGATGGCATCAAGTCTGCTTGAAGATCTCCATAGCAGCGTCATGTCATGGACCTATATATTTAGTCTGTCAATTTTCAAAATGCGATGGCTGCTTGTGAGGCGATGGATGATTTGCTGCCTTTGAAGCGTAGTAATTCTAAATTCATCACAAGACATGGAGGGCAAATTTCGGGTACGGGACCATAGCCCTGCATTAGACGACAATGTTAGTTACTGATAATGAGCATTTTATATGTGGAGCTTGAGATGTTCTTTTCTTTGCTGAACAAAGCTGTGGATGCTCTCTGCTCTGGTTTCTGCCATATCATATCAATCATTCTCAGAGTTTCTCCACGAGATGAAGTTATTGAAAAATGACAATGTGCCCGGAAAGCGCAGCAAGTCTATGCAGGCGTGGTGATCTGATGGTGGAAAAAGACGAGCCATAAAAAGCCTATAACTGTTGAGTCACGTAACATACATCATGCCCCCTGAAATTTCGTACACTAGTGAATTCAAGCTTTCAGACATTGTAATGACTTGTCTTCAACTGTCTTGGATGTTTATTCAATGCTGTTATGCACGACACTTTTGACTTTGCAGGGTGATGCCTGTTCTGATCTCTCTCGTTGGAAACCCGTGGTATGTATGCTAAATAGTCAGGTTGCTGCATTTTAGGTGTATATATTAATATCTGAGTTTGCTTCCCCAGAAGAAACATGTTTGACCTAATAGATCGAGAGATATTTATCTTTTTTGTATGATCCTGTTTTGCCTTGTTTGGCAGGTGATTATGTAATTCACCATCCCATGATTTTGAAAGGTCTTCACTCATTTACAACTGTTTAATGTCCATGTGAACAAGCCTTGAAGCTGCATCTTGAATTCAGATTGATAGTAGTTGGGAGTTTCTTTTTCTTATTTTTTGCCCCCAAGTTCAGCGTTTCATGTTAGTCCTAGATATCACTCATAATGAGTTATATTTGGTGGATCCCTGCCTCTCACAAATATAATAATAATGTATGACCAAAGTGGATTGATGATCTTCTTTTCCAACATGTGGATGCAGAATTGAGGAGTAGCTTCTTGGAGAAGGACTATGTCAACATAATGTCACGAGAAAAAGTTTGGTCAACACCTAATTTGTATGGTCTTTGGTGGCTTTCTTTATACGTTTTTGCTTCTTTTCATACTTTCCTTGCCCCTCCTTTTTTGGTTGCTGAATGATTCCTTGCCCACTGGAAGAGGCAAATAAGGGCTATAATAAGAAATATAGTATATTCCTTGTTTTTCCTTTTTCTTTTTGGCTGAACATATAATATATTTATTAATTTAATAGAAGATAAAGTTGACTTTGATTTATGAAGTAATGGACCCCTGGATGCGATTACATATCAGAAATGGGCCAAAAAGATTTTCACGTCTCAAAAAAAGGCCCAAAAAGACAAGAAAATGCATATCACGTGAGTTAATTGTCATTCACATCTTTTAAGACTGTGGACCACAACTGATTTAAGGGAGTTGGATGCAAAAGCTGATGTCATTTTCGTTTAGTAAATTAAATTATTTTCAATATTTTTTTAAAATAAATACGTTTTTTTTAAAATATTTTGAACATTTAATAAAAAAAAAATAGTTTTGAGAGAATAAGAATTTATTTCTACTCAATTGTGATTCATTAGAGTTAAAGAGCATGTGTCAGCAATGAGGAATGGAAGAGAGGGACAAGGAAACGCAATGATATACTATCAAAAGACGTGTTTGGCGTTTCAATTAGAAAAAGCTTCTTCTCACAATCTTCTCTTTCTCCATCCCCCCCGACCCCCACCCTTTCCCATATCTCATTTCTTCCAGAAAGCTTGCTTCAGGCATGCCCTTCAGATTCCCTCTTAGTCTTTTCTTTCGTTTCTATCTATCCGACCAATCATAACAATGCCAAATAATTAACATTTCTGTACTAGAGTGGGAAGATAAGTTCTTTTCTTTTGAATTTTGATGGATAGAGTGGAATTGAATTAGGACCTTTTACTTGCACCAGAATTTTTGTGCTATTAGTTCAAGATGTGATTAATGAGGGAAAAAGTGGGGTGGAAAGTTTTGTATCAAAAAACACGTTTTTTGTCCCCTAAACACAGACAGTCTTTTATTAAAGATAATTTTATTTGAAATATTGTTAGGCAACTCTTTTATCGGGATTCAAATCTTAGTTTGCTATATTGAAAAATACGCATTATTGCTACCAATACAAGAAAGTCACAATTACTGGGCTGAAAATAATATGGATTAATCATTGCTTTGGCGAAAACATAGAAGATCACAAAACCCAGTATAAAAAAAACAAAGCTATGACCTTTATGCAAGAAGGGGCAAATATTTGTGAGATCTTTGACCAGATAATTGGGCTTAAGACCTCGGCCAAGTTTTACTAGTGGGCTTATAATTTAGACCAAGGGCTATTAGGCTTTGCAACTGGATGAACGTCGGTCAGAAAGCAAAGCAACTAGACGAGCATTTTTAGTACCTCAAGACCTTTGCGCTGGGTGAGATATTGGGATCTCAAGGCTCAAGCCGCTTTCATTTAGGCGCCTCTTTGCGTTTATGAAAGTGCTTGTGGTCTTATAACTTACTGGTATGGAATTTCTTTTTTTATAAGTGGGAGATTGTGAGTTTGGTGTCACTTGCAATGTTAAGCTGTTGTTTAAGAAAAATGGACTTAAAGTCACAGGAAGATAAATTTCTTAAAAAGAATAAAGGGAAGGAAGTCTCAATTCTTCTGGTTATCAACGTACATAAATATGAATTAAAAACAAGTGAAAGAAAAAAAATTAAAAAAAAAAAGCACAAAAGGGGGAGGGGGGATGGGGTTGTAGACTCGTAGGTACTAATTTGTTTGACTGATATAAAGAAGCAAAACGGAGGCATGCGTGCATGCAAACGTTAGTGTGAGTGATATATAAAACAAATACGAAAAATGATGAAGCATTCAATAATGGTATTCCCCCTTTAAGGCTAACACTCTCCTTCAACTCCCTATCATTACGCATTTGAATGCTCCCCTCCACCCTGCCCCACCCACCACTTGGCACATTAACTTTTTTTTTAATTTATAATGTTCATATCCATTTCTGATGACAGTTAGTCTAATTGATATGGAATTGACTGGTTTTTGATCGGAATATCAGGGATTTGAATCCTATTATTACATGAAGAATTTGTTAGCAGAAAATTTTTAAGTAATTCTATAAGTAAAAAGTATGTTTGAAGCATCCATGCTTGGCTTTGATCCTAATAGACTTGATGAGACTGACTGGCTTAAGTTTTTTCTTGACCGGAATCATCACACAAAATATGAAATTGGGGTGTGTTGGTGAAAGGGGAAAGCCTTTTCATTTGGAGGTATTCTGTTGTTGAGAGATTATTATTGGAATCCCGCGGCGTCCTTTTGTTTCCTGCATCTCTCTTTATGATCTCCACACGCACACAGACACACACACACACACGTATATTCTCCATATCCCACTCTTGAAGACTTCTTATTCCCATCACTCATTCTTCCTCAAACCCAATACAAATCTAACTCCCATATCCAAATCCATCCAAAAGCAAGGATACAGGCCACTTAGAAATGATGAACGCTATTTATAATTATTGCCTTCTTCTTTCTTATTGTATATTCCTCATAAGACTTATTTTATATCAGAAGAGTATTATTATAATAATTTTGTATATCAATGGTATTATCTTTTTCCATTAGACTATCCTTCCCTTTTCAAAAGTTCAGAATAACTATCCTATGCATAATTTAGTTTTTAATAGAATGTGTGCGTAAATTTTTTTGTTTTTGCTAGGCACAATTTTTTTTATTAAAAATAATTTTATCTGAGGCACTGACTACATGTTGGCATCTCTCATAATAAAAATTTTAACATAGATTCGATTTGTTGTAAGAGATTAATCTTTTTGTTTGGCTCAACTCTGATTGGTTAAATGTGTCATATTAAATAGAAATAATCAAATCACATAACCCAACAAGCATTAAAAATTTCTTATTCACATGATATCTCACTTGATTTTTTTTAAAAAAATAATCATGCTATTGTATCATCTAAATTTAAGTGGCCCGAAAAAGGTACAATGCTCAAGCTCAAAGCCCAATTTCAATATCTCACCACCTTCCACCATCTTCGTCTGGCCGAAAAACCCTACCATCTTTAATTATTGTGTTTTATCTTTTGTGTTTGTCCCACGCAATCTAAAGCATTTCCCACAACAATCTAAAGCTAAGATTTTTTTTTTAAGTAAATATTTGTTTTAAAAAAAATTATGTTGGAGGAAATAATTAAACCTTATCCCTGATACAATTAGGATTTTTTTGTTTCGCTTAAAGTTAAAGACAGACACTAATGACACGAGATTATAATTATAATTAAATTCACAACTTCTCACTTAAAAAATATATTTCATACCACTAAGTTCTTGTGAATTAGGCACCATTTGAAATGTTCATAATGTATAATTATTGATTAATCTTTTGTATATTAAAAAAAATATTGTTTTATAATAACAATGACGAACCGATGTGACTTCAACAACTACACCAATAATATGATGTAACTGACCCACTAATCATGCACCACCCACGATGAGCTCGAACAGATCATAATAGTAGACCCATATTAATATTATACCAATAAAGAACGTTGACAATAATGACAAGTAAATAAACTCAAAAAAATAATTAAAAAAAATTCTTAGCCATATATTGGGTCACATGCAAATGATTTTACTTCCTTTTTTCTAAAATAAGTGCAAGCACCATTAATTTTCAAACTGAAATAATTCATTGCAATTGCTTTTGATTAAGTGGAAGGAATTCCATAAGATTGAGTTTTAAACGTTATGAATCAAAAATTTATTTTCTTTTGAGCAAATAAATATTTTATCGTTCTCATGTGTCGGTGAGTTTTAAGGGATTTTTAGTATTATTTGGATTATAAGAACCCGACAAGCACTAAAATTTTCTTTTATTTATTTAGAATTAACAATTTATTCTGTCAATGTAAGAAAGTTATAATACAGTTCTTGGGATTAATTAATATTAATTGTATCGAACAATCCTTACTATAAATAAATAAAAATAATAATAAATTGATAAATAAAAAGGTGTGGGGCGGTTGTCACAGGCTGCGTGAGAATATAAGCATGGGTACTCTTTCTTCCTCAGCGTCGTCAACGCTTGATTCACCAATACAAGCTTTTGGCTTCTTCGAGCAACACACAGAACAAGATGGTTACTAAAGTTTACATTGTGTAAGTGATTCTTCCTCGTTTCTATTTCTTTCTTTCTTTCTTTTGTTTTGGTTCTGATTGAGCGCCATCAGCTGTTTCGACTGGCACCGGAATCTCATTTCGTTTTCTTGTTTTCCCGATTCTTTTGGCGGCACTTATATAAAGTTCATAGATTTTCCTCGTTGTCGATTCTGGGTTGTTTCAGTTTCTCCGTCAATTTCATTAGCGAAATGATTGATAGGGGTATTGTTCTTATTAACTAGTTGCGGAGTTACTGCCCCTTCTGTCTTTTGCTCTGTGTTATCATTCTGAACATCGGTGATGATGTGCTCTGAATTGAACGCAAATTTTCTTGGATATGTAATTGCGAATATATGAATTGGGAAGTAGGTCTTTCTTCCAGAGTTCCAGTGAGCTTTTCCTGCATTACATGTCTTAAACTTGAAGGATTGCCGGGAGGAAACTAAACTATGATTTCCTATTGTTCCTCGTCATCTGTTTCAATGGCGTTTGGATCCCACGGAATCGCATCATATTTATTCTCTTTTTGCCATCAATTAAATTCTTGAATGAAGTGGTTCCAGTTCCTGGAGATGTGTGGAAACTAATGGCATCAAATTAAAGAAGCACCCGGAGAACTATTAATATTGAATATGGTGCTCAATTCTTCTTAGGGTCATATCCAAAGAAAATGGATTATACTTCAGTTGTTTAATCATCTCGTAATCGGTCATTTCTTCTTCATGATTTCTCTTCCTATCCTTTACGGAGCCTTGTTGTCCTGTATGCTACAATTCTGATAGTTATTTAGACTTTTTGCTACTCTGTATTGACAATTACTAGATTTTACATCACGCCGAGTGTACAAACACAAGGTAACAATCCAAAGATGATGAAAAAAGCAAGTTTAAGAGTTTTGACCTATTGTGTGGAGGTGGTGGGTTCACGGGTAATTTGCTGAATTATAGAGAAAGAAAGACATGATTGTGAAACCTGACCTACCTTTTGACATTAAGGTTCTAAAGTGTGATAGACATGGTGAGAAGAACGCAAGCCTCCCTTCTAAGAAAGTGCGGTCGTGGAATCAATCATCATTAATGGTTGTTCCGGCTACATAAACTATAATGATTGGTTTTTATTTCCTTGGATTGCAATTCTGCTAATATTACGTTTCTTTTCTAACAATGAAGGAAAGCTTCACCTGATAATTTCTTACTGTAGGGAATGTGAAGTCAATATCGTTCTGTATTGGCAGATACTAATGTGCTTATAGTTTCCCCTAAATGATAACATAGCCCCACTTTAATTTAATATTAATGTGTCAATGGTAGGGGTTAACACTGTTTCCTGTAACACACCTTGCCACCTTGGATTCTGGGGTAAGAAACACACTGTTCCTACTGGGCTTGTTTATCTTTTATGATGAGTTTCTAGGCCCTTGGTTTTAACGAAAATTAACATCTGTATTTTAATTGCTTCCTCTATGGACAGTCGCTACCATAAGGCCTATGAGAACACACAGTATTTTCCTTATGTACTTGTAATGAATGACTCATTGAAACCTGCACTGTATGTCTAGTTACTATTCCATGTACGGACATGTTGAGAAGCTGGCTGAAGAGATTAAAAAAGGAGCTGCTTCTGTGGAAGGAGTAGAAGCAAAACTCTGGCAGGTATTAAATGATTTTGTTTTGTTTGAGAGTATTACAATACACTTCTTATGCGTTCTCCTTTTTCCTTTTCTCTGTTGGGCTGGTGTGAGAGAGGAGGGAAAAGAACTTATTAACACAACTGTTAAATATACTGGGATGATTGAATGACAAGTATGTAAGTGTGCAGAGTAAATTATTTAACAATATGCTTCCTATATTCTTCACTGATTGTCTTCTTCTATTCACCAAAGTAATCAAACAATCAGAGTAAATTATTCAATTAAGTATCCCAATCCATGAGAAACTCTTGAGAGACCATACTTACAGTTACCTGAACTGAACAGGTGCCTGAAACACTGCCTCAAGAGGTACTCGGGAAGATGGGAGCACCTCCAAAGAGTGACGTACCAATTATCACACCCAATGAACTAGCTGATGCAGACGGCTTCTTGTTTGGTTTTCCCACAAGATTTGGATTGATGGCTGCTCAATTCAAAGCCTTCTTGGATGCAACTGGAGGCTTATGGCGAACGCAGGCTCTTGCTGGAAAACCTGCCGGAATGTTCTACAGCACAGGATCTCAAGGTGGCGGACAGGAAACCACCCCGTGAGTTACCAAATCTCTTCGTTGCAGAGAATATACGATCAACACAACATAACAAGTCCAAGCCAATTATAACACTTGATCACTAATCTTGTGCTTCTGAATTGTTCAGATTGACATCCATTACTCAGCTTGTTCATCACGGGATGATTTTTGTGCCAATTGGATACACATTCGGTGCCGGCATGTTCGAGATAGAGCAGGTGAAAGGAGGGTCTCCATATGGTGCAGGCACATTTGCAGGGGATGGCTCAAGACAGCCTTCTGAATTGGAATTGGCCCAAGCTTTTCATCAGGGCAAGTACTTTGCAGGCATTGCCAAGAGGCTCAAGGGATCTTCTTCATCCGAATGATTTTTTTCTTTTCCTGTTATATATTCTACCTTGTGTTTCAGTTCCTCATTGCGAAACAGAATAAGATGCTAGCTGGGATTTAAAAAAGAGTGAGAACGTGATATGATATTTTGTTGACAGTGTTGTCATAGTGTAACTTGGAATACAATATTTTACTACCAATAACAAGAATTTGCTTGCTTTTGTATTTTGATTGGCTTAATGGACTTTTTGGCTCTACATGTTTTGCATAATACTCCGCCTTGTATTATAAGAACCTTTTATATGTTTTATAATATAACATACTTTGTCTAAAGTATTAATTTTTTTCCCACATAGTATACATAATTATTAAAACTTCCTAACTGATTAACAAAACTCTTTTTAACTTTTTATTTTTATTTTAATTTCGTTAATTGATGTAAAAGTTGTTATCAAGTAGGACCGGTGGGACGATTAAAAATTCAAATCAAAGGCTACTCCACAGGCATTTTTAAGATAATTGGCCTGGATCCTAAAGTGGAAATGAGCAAACCTTAGCTTATTTAATTTTTTCTTGATTATTTTATTTCATTTTACATTCTCACTACAGTTTTTTAACTACATAACCCACAAGGGTTAAGCAACGGTAATGGGCTTCATCCATTTATTTTGGGCCACGAACTACTGTTTTGTTATGGACCATATCTGGTTGGGCCACTGATGAGTGTTCAATCTCCTTCTGTTTTCGTAAATGTTCACCTACTTTATGTTTTATTTCCTGGGTTTTAGGCCCATTTGAATTTTTATTGACCGAAAAAAAATCCTAAAGTCTTGATGCCATGAGATATAGGGTCCGTTTGGATCAGCGATTAGAAAAGTAGCTTATTAAAAAAGTAGCTTATAGAGAAGTGAAATTGGATAAAAGCTAAATTGGATAAGCTGAATTGTGTTTGGATTAGAGTTCAGAAAAGCTAGATTACAAAAGTGAGATTGGTAAAAGGTTGTTTGGATTATGATTGAGTAAAATTAAGTTTGGTTGTAAAATGACCAAAATAGATATGAGTTTTAATAAATAATGAAACATGATTAAAAAAATAATTTCACATAATACAATGAAATTAAAATAATTTAATATGAATTAGTCATAAAAAATATTTTAAATATAAAGTGAAACATGAAAAAATAAAAGTATATTTTTAGGAGCATATTTAAAAATAAAAATATACTTCTAACTTATTCATTATTTTCAACTAATTTTAACTGATTTTTTATTATCTACAAATTAGTTATTTGAGGCTTATAATAAGAACCAAAAGAGGTAATAAATTTCTTAACTTTTTCTCTCTCTATATTTCAAAAGCTATAAGCCATAAGCTGTAAGTCATAAGCTGTTAATTTTAACTTATAACTTATTGTAGCTTTTCAGACAAAAGCCCGATTGCAAAAGAGCTCATCCAAACAGACCCAATTGTATCAATCGAGCTTATAGAGCTTATAAGCTACTTATAAGCTCAAAATAAGTGATTTCAAACAGGCACATAAGGGAGATACTTATAAAATATTTAAAAGAATTCACTCCTTGAAGACTTAACGATAAAATATGAAGAAAATTGATTTTGCTTCATTCATTATGGAAAATAAAAATAAAAATCTCGCACGCTAGTGCAAATGACGCGCGACAGAGTTGTTGAAAGGAACGTATGTATTCAAAAAGAGAAAAGAAACTCTTTTCCTTCAAGGCTGGGAATATTTAAAAAAATTGTGCTATAAGATAAATCCAAATTTAGACTACTTTGCCAGTGAAAAGCCAAGACATAAAAAGAGAAACTTTAATCAGTATCAAATCTGAATACTTTGTTGATTAATTAATATCACAATGTTCTTTTTACATATCTTCTTTCTCATTAAGCAAGCTGTCTCTTAGAAAACGATGATTATAGTAGTCCCAATTCGCTTTGGTGGGTCGGCATAATAGTCATATAAAAGAGATGCTTGTTACTGATTATGTTTTTACAACCGAAATGGATTTTTGGATTTTTAACCGTTAACTTTAAGCTTAATTATACTCACGTTGCTTATTACTTGATTGAGTTGATCCACTCCAATCAACTGGCCAAATAATTAGACTTTGCCAATTATATAAGTCCATTCTCTGGTTCTTAATATAAGACCCATTTAATTAATTTGAATAGATTAAGAAAATTAGGTAAGTTAGTTAATTATAAGAAAAATGACACATCTTTCCTAAAATACCATAGTCATATTTCTTAATACCCCCTCTCCCTCTTCTACTTGATTATGGTTGAAAGAGTATATCCATATGGGTAATTTAGAAAAAATTGATAAATATGAGAAATGGGTCTTATATTTAGGACCAAAACCAACTTAAAAATTGGGTCATATATTAAGAATCGGATGAGTACTACCTTACATCCTTAATATAAGATCTATTTAATTACTTTAGATATATTAAGAACAGTAGTTAAATTATTTATTTGTCAAAAATATGTGTTGGTTTTCTTAAAATACTTTCTTAAATCATTTGGATTCAAACTACCATTCAATGCAAATTCCCGTGACATATAAGTTTAATAAGATTAGTTTAGACAAAATGAATTGAAATTTTATATTTAGCATCAAATTTAATTTCCTATCAGCTTTTATATTCAGTATTGAATACTGTGCTGGGCAATATGCTACCGCCATAGCACTATCTGAAAATTAAAGAATACTAACTGAATGCTAAAGAAAGTAATAATGAGATACGAGACTAAAATCGGAGGCGTGCACGCTTGCCCCCGCATATTATATAACGACAAATTAAGAGAACAAAGGAAAGAGCAAATTCGATATTTCACCAAAAGAAGGAGAAAGAAGCAGAAGAACATATAAAGAAGAAGAATCGAATACAAGTATACAATATGTATGTAATAATGATAGTTTCAATTTTTTTTCCTTCAATTTTCTACATCGTATAATAAACATAAAATGATCATCAACAGGAACAAAGGGCTTCTCTGTCACATTCAGCTATGAATATGTGAAATTGAGCAGAATTCAGCGACAGTACACAAATGGGTCATATTCATAATATATCAGATAAAGTAGCTTGCTTAGTCATTTTATATATATATATATATATATATATATATATATTCTCTTCCAGTGGTCAGTAATCATCTGCCAGCCCGCATCATTCGGTGCTTACATCTATATATAAACACGTACACCTGGCCCAGTGTTTCCTGTTCTTCTCCGTAATTAGGTCACAAATCCTTTTCTTTCTCTTTCTTTCTTCTTTTTTTCTACCATCAACAATTGCAGCTTGGAATCCTTGGATGTCTTCTTCTTCTTCCATTTTCCAAATAGTTAATGTCAGTTTTAACCAATTTGAATCTTCTAAGGCGTGAAGCATAACTTATATCACTTAATTATTTTCTTTTCTTTCCCACTTCGAAATATATGTGTACTTTAGGAGATTCCGAAGAGTCTCTCTACTCTGGGGTGTGATTATTGATCTTCTCTCTCTATATCTACCTGATGATGAAAGCTCCTCCATATGCATGCGTCCATAACTCAGAAGCCATCATCTCATAGTTAGCAAGTGAGAAGGTGCTCGATATCGGTGCCAAACACAACCCTTGGCTTCTTAAATCTTGCTTTCCCCCTTTTGATTCTTTCTCTTCACAACCCTAACCCCAATCAAAGAAAAAAAACTTAATTTTCGTTTAAGCATATATCTACCCTACAAATATGGTTTGAACTTCTGATTATATAGATATGATATATAAGCTTTAATATTGAAGCACCTGATAGTGTTGGGCAGCAGGTCTGTCATTGTTCAAATATGGAGCACTCAAAACCTGAAATTCAAGAGGGGATAGTTCATATCAGAATTTAATTTTTTATTTTATTTTAATGCATCAATGAATTCGGGTTTTGTTTGAAGCAAAGTCATGGGAACGCACGCTGACTTGATCATGAAGATACTTGATGTACTCGATGGCTTCGTGAAGAACTGATGCTGTGTCAGTCTATAAAAATAAAAAAGAATATGATATTATTTGGGTGAGATCTTCTTAAAATCAACGTAGGCATATATAATAAAATAAAGATCCAAATCCTGTCTCATAGCATACAGGCGAAGGAGGAAAAAAGGTGAAAGGAAACAAACAGAGAAAAAGGAAAAAAACTCACCTTTCCAAAAGGTGAAACCAACTGCTGAAGAGCTGTGATTCGGTCCCCTAACTTTTCTTTCCGAACCTGTCCATACGTATCAACTTGGTTTTATTATTACGATCAAAACTGAATAAACCTCAACCATCTCATCTTCGTCTGAAGAGTCAAAAAAGCTTCGAATATATATATGTACACACACACACACATCACATAAAGTATACCTTAAAAGTTGGCAGTGGGGATGGAGTTTCAATTCTGGGCCTTTTGAATGCAGCTGGTTCACTAACAGGAGCCTCTTCTCTTTTGTGCTGCAAAATGGATTGCCGTTTGGTTGTTATGCAAGTTTACAAAGACATAGCCAAGAAATCAGATTCTGACATATAACTACGAACTTGTACGGCGCCACAAATATTCTCAGCTATAATATTAGCTGTGATCCGCGTAGAAAACTTTTTTGAAATACCAATGAGTGAATTGATATTTTTATTCTCAAAAGATGCACTTCATCCCAGCTTTTTTTTTCCCTCCGAATGTGAAAACTTAATAATGTCATATCAACTTTGTAGAATGTATTCCATTTTATTAAGGAAGAACTACAAAAAAGTCTTAAGAATGCAACATAATTAATATAAAGTCCAATGACAATTCAACGCCTATAATGATAAGTTTCAGAGTAAAAAATGACAATTCCTCACTTGCCATTGAAACTTTTTATAGTTATTTTTTTGGTATGAGACGCTATTGTAATTCTCTCTTTAATTAAGCTCTTTAATGGATGAATATATATATATATATATATATATCGTGATTATGCGTAACTAAAACTCTAGTATCTGTCGCTTCGTGTATATATTCAGTTGTTACTATGACATACTATATAACAAAATACTAAAATGATGTACGCTAATGTGAGTATTTCAAGAAATACATTAAATGTTTTGTTAACGTCTTTGAGGAACAAAGACAATAACTCATGTCTTTACCCTAGACAGTATAATAACCACTGTAACTGGAATATTTATATATATATATATATATATATAGGTATAATGAATTAAATACCTTGGTTAAGAGAGCTGAGCAACTGGGTTTGTGTTCAAAAGTTTGAGATTGTGGGGATGAAGCAAAAATCACTTGTGGTGCTGGTACGTCATCAAGTGCTCGATGATCAGCTGAAGAATTATTCCAAAAAGGAGAATTATTATTATCATTGTCGTTTGAAAAGTGGAATCCACCCAGCTGCTGCTTTGGCATTGAAGGGTTCAAAAAGTGATCAGAGGCTTTGGACCAACTTGGCGAGGCTTGATTGGCTGAACTATAACTATAAGCCAAAGAAGGGTTGGTGAAAAGCGAGCCCTCTGGCTGTGGCTGTGGTTGAAAATGATGAAGAGGATTGTGCTCATCACACAGGCCATAGCCATATGAGGCAGAACTCAGATTCTGTTGACGATGATCTAAGGCAAATTCTTGGTTCATGGTTTTCATTTCGGAATTCGAAGAATCTACTCCACCTTCTTCTTCAAGAACAGATTCGAAATTGCTTTCTGGTCTCCCACTAGCAACAAAAACAGCATAATTAATTTATTGAGAAGATATATGAGGATATTATAAAACTAGAATTTCTGGGAGGAAAAGACTGATATAAACTTACAGTAAAGAGTGGTTATTCCAGTTGGAAAAGCCCAAGGAGGAATCCATCAATATTTTTCCATTATTTTCAGAAGCATCAGGTGATGATTCATTCTGATGGTTTTGCTTCTGCTGAACTAGAAAACCCAGAGCATCATGATGATGATGAGAAACTAAAGGCGACTTGAGATCCACGAGACTATCAGTTTGCCAAGCGCAACTAAAGTTGCCTCCATCTTGATTTGCTGCAATAGAACAGAGTGATGATGATGATGAAGATGAAGTGATGAGAGGGAACACACTTCTTGATGAACAAGTATTCATGTTCCACCAATTTCCACCATAAATCCCAGCAGCTTCAAACTCCTCTGCCATGGCTTCTTGGTATGTAGAATCTCGGCTTGATGTTAGGGTAGGGAGGGATTAGAGTTTTATATATGTGAAACGGTTTGAAGGATTCGGAAAGTGGATATTACCGGAACCTGGTTGACATTATTATATAGTAAGGGCATGATTGGACAAATGACACAAGGCTTGAGAATATTTATTTTTTTTCCTCTACCAAACGAGGAGTGAGAAAAGAGAGAGGCAGAATTCAGAATTATGAATCCAATTCTAATTCTCTCTTGTCTTCTGGTTAAAATTGTAATTATAATAATGATTTTAGGAGTTTCAGAACATTTTCTTGGGGACAATTTGTGTTCCTTGCATACAAAGGAATGTTTGATGATGAAAAGTGATAATGACCCGATATTAATTTTTTTCAATGACGCGTCTTGATTTTATTAAAAATCCAACGGCTAAGCCTTATGTATAAAAATTATTTTAGATGAGTATTAGCTAACTTTCCCCCCACTTTTTGAGCCCAAAGATTAAATTGTGAACTAATTATATATGAAAAGAAAAGAGATCAAAACTTGCGATGTAGAGATGAAACTTGAGGACCATTTAATGGTCCAAATGTTCACCTTCCTGGACCTCCTAGAGTACCAATCAATCACGATCCTCATACCGAATAGATAAAAGTCACTTTATATTTTTAAATTTCAGATTATATATATATAGAAAGAAAGAGAGAGATACTAGATTGCTATAGGTTTGAGTTTTGTATATTTTACAAAATTTAACATGAGCCATACAACTTATTATAAATTATAAATAATGTAATTTTTCATCAATTTTATATTAGACATCGAGTATCGTTGAGGGGCATGCATTGATAAATATTATATATTGTGTTATTGATTTTCAATAAATTAATAATCAATTGAGGGCAGTAAGAAATGATGGGTCAAATATTTTCAACCAATGGAGACTACATTCGATTGCGGTCAACGAGTTAATGAGTTGCAAAATGCTTAAAGTCAAATTCAGTAACCGTTGAGTCTCACCAAGTATCATTGTATATCCAGCAATATTCACAACATATAATTGAGTTGGAGAATAAGTGGGGAAAAAACAAATTATATATTTAAAAATGTGAAGAGAAAATCAAGTTAAGTTTGACCTGTTGGATTCAGAAAGCACAGTTAGCCGACGTCGTCCATACACGTTCCCGTGTTACATAGAGAATAATGAGAATAAATAACAAATATTTATATTATTATTAAGTGAGAATAACTAAGTATATATACATACATATGAGAGGATAGGAATTGGGAAGAGGCATGGATGGAGGGAGGAGGGACCAAGTAGTGGAAGGTGTTTTGGAACAACATGGGCGTCCTCTTGTGTTTACAAAATGTTCCCATGCACAACAGGTGCACCCAATAAAGTTGCTCATGTCATACCTCATGACCCTTCTAGAATCCCCGTTTTATTTATTTTCCACTCTCTAAAATCCCCTTCTTCTATTATTTTCACATCTACTTCCATTTTAACCCAAAACAAAAAAATTTAAAATTGTAACTACTTAGTTAATTAACTTCCTTAATATTGTTTACTTACCCCTATTTATTCCAAGAAAAATGACATATAAGTAAGCTAGGGGTGTGCTGGTGTGCTTTTGTTCGGTCATATGCGAGGATGGACGTATAATTATGTTAGTTGTAGGAGCTTAGGCAGGGGATCAAATTTTATATTATGTTAGTTGTCATTAAATTTTGATGTCATTTCATAAAATTAAAATTGTCATTTTTTCTTTTGGCTATGTATAGATATTTTTTTATTAGAGACAATATTTGAGGCATTATCAGATATTAAATGTTAGCATATCTCTTAATAAAAATTTAAATATTAGTTCGTTATGTTGTAAGAAACTGACTACTTTTACTAAACCTATCCTCCATTGGTTAAAAATTGTTATTTCGTAAACCAAAGCAATCATCATCTTCAAGTCATATCTATTGCTTCCATTTTGAATTTTCTCTTAAACATTGTTGCAAGTAGAATATACCTGCTCTCTTCCATCCTTTATAATGTTCCAAACATTATATATTTGTGTGTATGCGCGCACGCCCATAATGTTCTAATTTTGTTAAAATTGCACAAATGTCTCTGGACTAGAAATTTTACCCTATATATATGACCTATCCATTTTGACCTTTTAATCAAAAATTAAAATGGGAGAATGTGTGAAAAAACCCAGCTTGTGGGTTGTTGGTAATGGTAAGCTCTTTTTTTTTAAAAAAACTTTTTTGTTGGAAAATAGGTAATGGTCAGCTTATTGTAGTCAACGATAATTATGTCATTCAATATGTAGTGGAACATCTTCGTCTTTGTTTGTCTCTCTGACAGGGTGGATTGTTCTTGTGTTATCTTCACAAATTAAAGCGCTATCAAATGGTTCCTCACTAATTAGTTTTATGCGGAGATTTTTCACAAATGAATAACATTATTTTATAACTTGCAGAATTTAAATATTTTAAGGAATAAATGTATATTTCTAATATATGATGTAAATGATAAGATTATATCCTCCTCTAGTCCTTTTTATGAGACACGACAGTACACTTCCACATATTTCACTAAATCCAAGAATAACTTTCAAACTTATTAGCTCTGCTTTAAAATTTAATAATTTTTAACCTTTTAGCCTATTTAATATATATATCATACTTTTTAGACATATAACAGTTTACATAACAATAAATTAGCTTTCATATAATAAATTTAATGAGCTGACTTATACTATGTACAAGAAAGAAACTCAAATAAATGTTTTTAGAAAACTAACATATTCTGGAATTTAAACTTTAGTTGAACTAGGCCATTGAACACAACGATCCAGAACCAGTTGATCAGTATAACATGAGGTGTATTATTATATACATTTAATTCCCAGAAGTCATTCTTCAACTCCATGATGAACTAAAGAAACTGTTTCCACTGGGATACACACCAACAATAATGAGTCAAATTGAATCATCAGGCCAAAGAAACAAAACTTTTAAAAAAAATAATGAAAAGGAAAAAGAAAGAATGGCATAGAAAAGTTCAGGTCAGGATTAAATCAATTGCTTATTTAATTCAGTGGGATGCGACCAGATGGTTAAAGTATTAATGGATGAGTCCAAAAGTAAGTTGAATATTATAAAATAACATTAGTGTAATAGGGATAGATGAGAGAAATGATTATGCAATATTCTAGTGTACTTATGCCTAAATATGCCATCATTTGCTAATTAATTAGTTTTAGCTAATTATTCTTTACTAGCAATTCCATTGATCCACTCACTTTCGCCGCCCATTTTTATAATTAATTAGATGTATTGATTGTTGGCCCTTACTTTTAAATAGAATTTGAGATAAGCCGTTCATTATTTTTTTTTTATAAATAATACCAAGTGCACAACTTTATTTGAATTTTGTATTGTAAATATTACACAATCACACACATGTAATTGACTGAAATATGTGAAATACGTAGTGTTGGGAAAAAGAAAATAAAAGAAATACGTGTACCCGTAAATGTCGATTTCAGAGTGAGATATTTAATTTCAAAGAGAGGCGAAGCCATTTTATGATTGGCTTTGAGGAATGAAACTGAAATCTCATCCAATTAATTAATATGGTTCATTTATTGGCAATGGTAGGGTTTTACAGAGGAGACCATTGACTCATACTTTATAAAGTAATTTATAAAAGCATTCTCTCTCGCTAGTCACTCCATATCATGGTGTCTCCCTTTGTCTTATAAGGCGCCGCCCTTTAAATTTTTTTTTTTTTAAAAAAAATACTCGTATTAGTTAAGAGAGAGTTATAATAATACTGTATGTACTAAATAAATATGCACAGAATTAATAATTTTTTTAAATGAGCCCTTGACAAGAGTCAATAATACATTAAATATAGTAAATTAATTACTTACAAAAAAACAAATATTAAATATTACGAATAGCATGATTGATTTCTCAAACTCTAGTAGTATCATACAATAAAAACCATGTCTAATTAACCTGAAATAAGACTATGAAGTCAAACCCTCAATGGGACTTGGCATTTGAATATCCTCTTTGTTTTTTTTTAATCAAAAATTTCGAATATAAATAAAATATGTTGACTTATTTATGTTGGATTTTTCAGAATTAAACAGCAGAATCCAAACTGATTTATTTCTCAAGAAGATACAAACTTTCGTACAGATCCTGATACCCCAATCCCGTAGAAGGTAAACTGCTCCTTTTGAAAAACAAAAAACAAAAGAAAATTATCCATATGGGTAACTTATAGCCACTACAAAGTTTTGAAAGACAAATAAATTAAGATAATTATATTTGTGTATAAACAAAAGTCAACAAATCATATATATGCAGACACACACACGGACACACGAGAAATATGGCAGTGTTTAAGTAGATAGGACCCGAAGCAGTAGTTATGGTATATATAATAGAACTGGTTTTGGAAATTAAAAGGTGATTAATTAATATGGCAGTGTTTAATTATGCTTTAATTTGTTTGCTTGTTGGTGGATTATCGCAATCTTCATTTTTTGCATGGTGGATCGATAAATATTTATTTTATATATACATGCATGAATTTCTGTTGAACCACTGATATATAATATTAAAAAGATTTGGTCAAAAACCATGATAAAATAAGCAACACGTTTTTTGTTTAATGGTGGAACTGCCGTTTAATTTCCTATCCATCTTTTGATGAGGACCAACTATGTATTATTGACACATTTAACGTTTATATAGATACTTTGGAAGGATTCATTTGGTTACAATCTTTCTGCACGAATCTGAAACAACTTAATCCAAATCTTGGGATTTGATATATATATATATATATATATATATGATCTCTGACTGATTAGTGTTTAATATATACTATGATTATGATATTAATTAGTTAAGACTACTCATTTGTTTTTTAGATCATTTTTTAATTTGGTGATCGAGTCAACCACATAAACAGAAAACATTAATCTTTTGCTTAGGGTAAGTGACTTAAACCATGCATCCCATATTTGGGTGTGGATTGATGGTGACCTCACGAATGACTCAACAATAATGTTGTGTGTGTGGTGTGTGTTACAGTCAAGTTTAATGAGATAAGCATCAAATGTTTAAGTTTGACTTCTTGTTGATTAAATGAGTTTAATAAGTTAATCAAGCTAATCCATGCAATACATA